TAATCTCTGTATGAAAATTAATGAAACAAAAGCTCTGATTCTGGTGAAGGATTAATTAACAATTGCATCATCTCAAGTATCCTCCTTCTCATTCTCAGATGTCAACACCCTGAGGTGATGATGGCAAAGTCTCCCCTTCCAGCAGCTCAAGAATCTCACAGCAGGTCTGAGAGATAAACGGAAAAATATGATACAGCAGAGAAAGACTCTGAAAAGTATTCTAGTATCAGACAGAAAAGTATGGCATAGCTCTACAGTTTAAACTGCTAATAAACCATTTCAGTACCTATCAGATCTTTTTGTTTTGTTTTGTTTTTTGTTTTTCTAGACAGGGTTTCTTGTATTGCTTTGGAGACTATCCTGGAACTAGCTCTGTAGACCAAGCTGGACTCTGCCTCCTGAGTGCTGGGATTAAAAGCATGCAATGCCAGGCATTCTATCAGGCCATTTTATTACTAGTAAATGTGTAAAAAAAAAAAATTCTTAGGAATGAAAAAAAAAAAAAAAAAAGCTCAGTGGTTAAAATACTGTTGCCTCCTAACTTCCTTCTCCTTTTATTAAAGAGAAAGGCAAAAATAGGTCACATCCAATGACTTCATGACATTAGCAAAGCGATTCAGAACAACTGCAAAGGTGATGTTATTTTTAAAAGACAGGAAAAGGCCAGATAGGGTGAAGTCTAGCTTAGTCAGTAAAGTAACAGCTAGGTGTGCCAGCCCATGCCTGTAATCCCAGAGCAGGGGCTCAGTGGCCAGCTAGCCTATAGCCTAATCTATGAGCCTAGGTCAGTCGAGGTGAATGGCTTCTGATAAACAACACCTGAGGTTGACACATACTTGCAGACTTGAAGATGTTTCATCACAGTAGTAGAATGGCTCCACTGAAACACTTTCCTAGGGTTCTAACTGGTTACAAAATATAGATGGATGAGAGTGAGGGTGATGGTGCTTTGAGTCCAGTAGCAGCAGACTGTTTACCACCCCACATTGGATAATTACGCTCCCAATCACCCTGGTAAAGCTGTCCATCTCGGTTTTTTTTTTTTTTTTTTTTTTTTGTACTCCACTTTCTATTTCTTCCTACTGGAGAAATCAATAATTTGGGGGGGGGGGTTAAAAAATCAATTCCTAGCATCATTTTTTAGAGTTTCTACCCTTTTATGAGAGAGTTTCACTATTTAACTCAGTCTGGTCTGGAACCATCTGAATAGCCATGGCTGGCCTTTATCCAAAAGGTGCTCCTGCCTCTGCCTCCCAGGAATACAGGCATGTGCCATGCCTAGTTTTGTGTCTAACTTCTTTAAAACTCTTTTGTACCCTTCTAAGATACTGCTTGCCAGGCTATTAAAAGTCCCCAACACAACTTTAGATGATCTCCAGGCCCAATACTTGACTGTGCTTTCTATTTCTTTATCAACCCAATCTTTCACTCATAACTAAAGGTACTTCGCACACGCACACTTTCTGCCACACTCCATGACTCTTAGAAGGTATCCTTACAAACAATACAACTAGAATTCTACTCATCACTATAAATCCATTCCACTTTGAATCTTTTCCATTTCAGGGAGCAGAAGAACCCCACTATTCAATTTCTCAAGTCAAAACCTGGGAGTCAGTCTCTCTCACATCTAATCTGTTATGCACAAATCCTAAATCAGACCAACAGTTTAAGATTCTATTCCAGTCACACCTTAGAATACATTCTCTGGCCAGCAAAGATGTACATATAAAATAGGTCATGCACTCTGTCGCACAGAACCCTTCAACAGCTTCCCACTACATTTACAATAAAATATACTGGTCTTTTATGTGGACACAGCACTTTTCTCTGCACTACCTTTGTAAATAGTCTTTGTTCTGGAATGTCATTCCACCCATCAACTTATCCTTCAGGTCTCAGCCCCAGTTCTACATTTATTTCTTCCCAAAGCCCAGTTAAAATTGGGTTCAATTATATCCTGATTCCTTTCACTGCACTGTTATGTTAATAATAACTATCATTTGTTTTATGCCTATGCAAGCAGACATAGTACTTGACTTGCTACTCACTTATGGTCACAGTCACCCCTTACTCAGTCAACAGCTCTGAACTGGAAAGCCATCAGCTTTCTTCCTAAAATGGCTCACAACACAGCATGGATATTAATCCCCCAGCAGTTGTATTATTAGGGGACATACTGTTAAAATGTCAGTGACAAAAAGGCAGCACTAGTCTTTTTTCCCCTAATACTGTTTGTAGAGCATTACCTTTTACTTCCCCTGATCTTGCATAGTTCTTTGCACCTGTTATTCAGACTTGCCTTACACTTCACGGACAGTATAGTGCTCAGCCACCAGAGTACAGTACATGACAATCAAATACTAGAACATCAAAGAAGTTCTAGATATCAGTATTAACTAAGAGCTAAGAGCATTCAAATTTCTGTCAATCTATATGGATGAGGAACCACTGACTAGAGACCCAGAGATCACCTTCATGTTTCTGTACTACTTAGCATGGCAGGCATTTAACCCGTGTCTGCTGCAATAATCTTCGATATCTGCTTATTTGTTAGTTAACACCATCAAGAACTTCTGGTTTCGATACAGACTCCAGAGTAGAGGCCGAGGGTCCACCTCAATGGAATAGCACCTATCTAGCATGTGCTATGGAAGCAAAGGGAAACAAAAAATAAAAACAAAAAATTAATTATGTTGTTCACTGCACAAGTGGCCTCTGCATTGAGCATTTTATAAACTACATCCATCTAATGATGTAATTAAGAGAATCTAAGATTGAAATTTTTGGAATTTAGGCTTGTACTTTGAGGACAGGGTCAATGTAAGAGAAAAATAAGAACCCCATTAGCAATGATATTCCACCAACTTAGCATGGCTGTGACCCATTATTTCTGTTGCATTTTTTTCTTTAATCTTTACAATAATCCCGAAAACTGAGAAAGCTGAGGTTGAGGGATTAGGTGACTTTCTCAACTATCACATAACTGATATGTGTCTATTTTTTTAGATACTCTAAACCAAACAAAACACCAAAACCCAAGCCACAAGCCACACACAAAATAAACTTGGCCTTAGAGGGCTTGAAGCGGGCACTATTACTGCCAAAAGAGAAACAGCAAAAAACTTTCATAAGACACACAACACCTCTCAAAAGACAACACCTTTCAACTTAAATCCCACAACTCATAGGCATACTGCTAAATTTGGCTTTACTGAAATGTATTTGTATAAAAATTTTATGCTCAAAATGCTCCTATAAAATACCATTTACCAACTCCATTTCTGTTTGAGCCTAAAAAGAACAAAGAGGAAAAAAGGAAAATAAAAGTGAATAAGTGTTTCAAAAGGTGTTTGGCCCCTGATATGACAAAATACAACAAGAAAACAGAAGGCTAAATGATGTCAATCTGTTAAACAATCCATAAGCTTTTAAGGGTTGGGACCTGTGCACTTATTTCAAACTGTGACTGTTACTTTATCACATTGGGACAAGTGCAGTCACTAAGACATGAATGTATGAGATCAAACCACCACAGTTAAACCAAATCACAAACTTTTTCACATTGATCATCTCGACCTGTGTGTGGTACCAACTCTGAAGTCACAAAATTCCATTATAGACTTGCTGAAGCAGATGTCAAGTAATTCAACTCATAAAAAAGTTAAATATTAATCAGGTTCTCCAAAGCATCAATGTTATCTTCAAATAATTATCCGAATCCCAAGGAAATAAAAGCCTTATGAGTTCATAAAAAATAAAAAGTCAATAAGAGTTTACAAAGTAAAAGGATTTGCACAAAAAGACCCCAGACTATTTCTGTGGACATTCTTGAGGGGGAAAAAATAAAATCCTTGTGTCTCCTTTTTTTTCCCCCTTTAAAGACTCAACTGTGTCATTTTTAAAAATACGGCCTTTTTACATATTTTATGTGTATGAATATTCTGCCTGAGTGTGTGAATGTACACCACATGCATGCTTGGTACCTATCAAAATCAGAAGGTATAGAACCCTCCCTGGAAGTGGGTTACAGATGGTTGTGAACTCGCTTGTGGTACTGGAAACTGAACCCTCCTGGCTCTCTGCAAGAGCAACAAGTGGTTTTTAATTTCTGAGCCATCTCTTAACCACTGGCATGCACTGGTACAGTCCTCTTTCCCATAAGTTTACATTACAAACAAACAAAAAATCGATCATCCTATTTCCCCCAAATGTGAAATTTGTATAGTCTCCAGGTATGGTGTCAAATGCCTGTAATCCTAGCGCTGGGAAGCAGAAGCAAGTGGATGGCTGAGTTCAAGGCCAGCCTGATCTACATAACAAGCTCTTGGACAGCCGGGGCTACAGAGAGAGACCCTGTCTAAAAATAGTAAATAAAAGTAAAAAAGGAAAAAAAAAGATACAGAGAAAAAGTATTTCTATACTCCTCTGCAAATCCAGGATTGCAAAAAAAAAAAAAATGGGGCTTTAATAATTAATAGAGTACAAACACATGCTATTAAGATTTTCCTTCAAACGTCAACCTTTCCCCTCAGGATCCCTAATGGATATACATAAGCCATACAGTACAATCTAAAAAGAACCCAGATGGTAGTAGGCTCTCTCCACCCTGCCCCAAGAGAGCCTCTTCGAAACCTCCTCCACACTCCCTTTTCTGGGCTCTAAACACACGTGGAACTCAAGAGAGGCGACACACTGTCAGGATGATGGGAAAAAAAAAAAAAAAAAAAAGACAGGGCACACAAGATACATAACTGGATGGGAAAGGGTGCTAAGTGCTGCCTCCGCTGTATCGCATAACCAGCGTAACCCGCTGCAAACTTTTGAAGGATTAAGTTACATTCCGCTGCAATTCCACACTTGACAGTTGAATCCAGAGATGCCAGCGAGTCGTTCCTGGGGGTCTCGGGCTGCCACCTCACCAGGGACAGTGGGCGGCTGCATCCTGAAGCCAGCACGCACCAGGGCATGGGAAGGGAGGAGGGTCTGGGCGAGCTCACCTTTTCCAGCTCATCGTGGAGCTCTGCCAGGCTGGGCCGGAGCAGCTTCTCGCCCAGCTGCGCGGCCGTGTGCCGATAGTGGTCGATCCTGGGCACTGCGTCCATAGTGTTGTGGCCGAAAGTGCGCAGGTAGTAGGTGTTGGTGTGGGTGTCATAGTAGTACTGCTGATGGTGCCCGCTGCCGCCGCCCGAGTGCAGGCTGCTGCCTTCGCTCAGCACCGTGTCCCCGCCGTTCTGGAAGCTCACGTTGGGCCCGTCGCCTCCGACCCCCGCCGCATCCGACAGGCTGTCGTCCGCGGACGACGAGGCAGCCGGGTCCACGAAGTTCACGCGGAAGCGGCCCTTGGCTTCCTCGCTGCCCTTGGCAGCGCCGCTCTCACTGCTGGCTTTCCCGGCCGCCTGGGTCTCCTTGCCCGCCGCCCCTGCCCCTGCAGCCGCCGCCGCCGCCGCGGCCCGCCCGGCGTTCTCGGAAACCACGTCCACCTGGAAGCGGCTCTGGCTGGGGGTGGGCCCCAGAGGTCTGCCCAGCCCATCGCCCCCTGCTGCGGCTCCCTCTCCGCGCACCCCGCCGGCCTGGCTCCCGGCCGGAGCATCCTCTCGACCGGAGGAAGGCACGGCAGTGCCGGGCAGGTCCACCCGGGAGACAGCCGGCGGCGCGTCCCCATCCCGGGCGGGCCGCAGAGCACCAGGCGAGGGTGCCGCGGGCCGGGGCTCCATCTCCGCCCGACGCTCGGGGAAGCTGCGGAGCGAGCGGGGCGGGTGAACGCTGCCTAGAGCGCGGCTCGGCTCGGCTCCCGGGCCGGCGGTCCCCGCTACGCAGCCCGACGAGACAGTCACAGCGCCGCCGCCAGCCCGCGCGCGGCACGCTCGCCGCCAGCCGCCGAGTGCCCGCGAGTGCGGCCGGCCCGCGGTTTAAAGGCGCGGCGGGGCCGCGGCCGCGCTCGGTGCAGCACGCGGGAGGCGGGGCCGCTCAGCCCGCCCCTCGGCCCGCCCCAAGCTCTGCGCCGGCCAGCCTCGCGCGCCGCGCCGCGCCGCGCCGCGCCGAGCCCGGAGCGCGAGCAAGCGCCGGCCTCCGCAGCGCAGCGAGCAGGCGCGGCCGCACGCGCCTCCGCGCCGACCTGCGCACCGCCGCCCCTTCCGCCGCCGCCGCCCGCTCCACGTTGTTCTCAGCGTCCCCTCCCGCTTGCCCGCCCGCAGCCCGGGCCCTGGTGCCCCCCGTAGCCGCAGCCGCCGCGGATGCTCCCCCTGCAGCACCGGCTCCACCGACTCCTCTCGCGGCTTTTTTTTTTTTTTTTTAAGTTCTAAACTCGCAGTACTTGGGGCGAGGCGAAGCGAGGCGGCGAGATCTCGCGAGAAGCTCCAGGGCCTGTGGGCGGTTTCCCTTAGGGCGCGTGGTACCCAGGCCCGCGGCGCTCCGGCTGCGGGTGATGCTGGGGGCTTTCCTGTTGGGCCCGCGCGCGCTTCCGGAGGCGCTGGCCCAGGCGCGCTCCCGCCGGGGCCTGCGCGCACCCCGACCCTGGCGGGCGCCCAGCTGGAGAGCCCCGCGCCAGCGTTTTAGATTTGCATAACCAAAGAGTAATTCCAGCCGGGATGCGGTGGGTGTGTCCCGCACTTGGGTGACACCTTTAGTTTTAAAAAGCTGGTGCTTGAAGGTGACAGGGGAACCTCTTGCCCACTTAGCAAGACAATTTTTAACTTCTGTGTTAGGAAACGTAGCTGTCAGGATGCAGTGACTGCAACAGCCAATGCTACAATTAACGAGTTTTTCGTTTGGCTGCGTTAGTGAAGAATTCCTCGATTTTAACACAAGCTGCACAGACTCTGCAGGTTTGTTGTCTCTGAAAATGTAGAGGAGCACCTGTTTTCCAACTTAGTATCAATATCTTCCTTTAACTTAGAGCCCTACGAGAAACTGAGTCACCACAGTAGTTTTCTGGGGTCATATGTGTTTACATTTAAAGAACTTTAGGAATAAAGACCATCTCTTGCCGGATACTTTAAGCAAGACCAACGTCAAAGACCTCAGAACCTGGCTTTGCAAAAACCGAAAACTTGTGAAAAAAAAGCAGACAGTCAAAAACTTAAAAACCTCCAGCTGCGGTGATTAGCCCTTGACAATTTATCAGCTTGTTGTCATCATCTGTATTTTAAAGACAAATCAAAAAGGACAAATCAAAAAGAACAGATCCTGGCTCATACACTCAGAGCTTCTAAAACTCCTTAAACTTTACTAATATTAACAGAAAACCAGAAGCAGCCAGAAAAATCCAGTGTTCTTTCAAGCAGTGTAACTTTCTACTAGGGAATACTGCTGTCCTTGTACCAGCTTTGTACTGTACCTTTCAGCCTACAGCTAATTTATGGCTGTTAGAATTCAGCATTAATTTACTGAACAAATGCTGATACACCTGCTGTGAGCTTCCCCGTGTCCTTAGGATATAGTTAAACCCATCTCATGGGTGTCATGAGAATGAATAAGGTAAAGAGATAAGACATATAGCCTGTCTGTCAGAAGAAGCAAATGCTAAGGGAAAAGCGTAGAGGGATGGGATTGGGATGGTAAGTCTTCCTTAGTATGACATCATCGAGGTGACCTTTGAGTGGAGAAAGCATTTTATGCAAATATTTTGGAATGATCTGTTCTAAGCAGAGAAAGCAAAGGCCCACAGAGTAGGAGTAGGGTAGGCATGGGATTGCACATAGGGCAGTTTGATTAAAATGTCTTAAGAGGGGGAGAGAATCAAAGAGAGGGGGAGAGAATCAAAGGTAGCAGGATCAGAGTGTGAGAATGGGGGAAACGTGTCTGGCCTCTGGCTGTTGGATATGCTGTGACTTTTAGTCTGAGTGTAGTTCAGACTTCCATAGAAAAGAAAACATAGACTGGATGATGTAAGCAACAGAAAATTGTTTCATAGCTCTGGGGCTCTGGAATTCTGAGATTGGGGTCTCAGTGTGATCACAGACAGCTGCCTTCTCACCATGGCCTTACACGTGGAGAGTGTCCACTCTGCTGCTGCTCCCTATCCTCACAAAGACACAGTTGCATTGACCCCAATTTCATCCCTGGGGGCTCATTTAGCCTTTCCAATTCATTCATGTGGGTACATGGGGGCTAACTTCAACTACAAATGTTTGGGCTGCACAGTTCAGTCCATAGCAGCTGTCAAATCACTGAAGAGTTCCAGGATGGAAAAACATCTTCCATATAGAATTATGTCCAACTTAACTGATGTTTCAGGAAAGCTGTCTCATAATGTCATGATGGAGCTGAAAAAAAATCCATATCCCTATTGTAGTTTACTTTTTCCTGTTTGGCTACACACACAACACTATATTAAGCCTACAGTGTTCAGATCAATAATGTTGGGCAGTTTTGTTGCCTAAGAGAAATAGACTATGCCACATAACACGTGTATGGTGTAAACTATATACCTAGTAGGTTTGAGTATGTAAGTTCTACAGTGATCTGTCAAAATTGCCAAACACACTTGTGCCTGTAGGTAACCAACACAGAGGACCGATGTAATTGCTCTGTAGGCAAGGAAGTAAGTGACAGAAAGATCTGGATGTATTCAAGTGTCCTATAACAACCTCTAAATGGACAGTGTGACTTTGGCTGTGGTGGTTAGTAGTAGAAAGTGGGGTAAGTGTTTGGGTGGAGAGGCAATAGCATTTGCAGATTCAAGGGTGAAAATATTAGTAGCTATTAACGTTAGAAAAATGTATGTCTTGGATACTGGACTAAGCATGTTACATCATAGTCTTAATGGCACAATGCTACGAGGAATAAAAAGGCATTACCCTCATGGTGTATGTTAAAACTTAGTTCAGTAGGGAAATAAGTAATTCATAACTCAGTGACCAAAGGTAAAAGGCAAGAGGAAGAAGAGACCTAAAAGAGGAGAAGAAAAGTAGCTGAAGTCATTGGGAAGCAGCACCAAGAAGAGTTGAATATATTGAATTATGTAACAGGATTGGCCAGGGGAATGGGAGTGGGTAAGATTCCAGGAGAATTGATCCAAATATGCACAGGAAATGTAGAAACACGGGGAGAGGGGGGTCTCATTTAGTTAACTGTCACTCGTGTGGCTGTCAGATTTGCCAGGTGCCAGCTAAGAGACTGGACACAAAAAGATTCATTCATCTTCAGTGACAAAGAGGAGGACCCTTGCACTGTTTTGTTCATTTTTCCACCTTTTGCTAGTAGCCGATGTGTTATCAGCAAACTTAAGCAGTTTGCACCAAATGCACATAGATTTGGAGGCTAGATAGGTCTTAGGTGGTTATAGCAAACTTCTCACTTTACAAATGCTGTGTCCTGATTAGCTTTATGGTCAACTTGCTACAGCCTAGAGTCACCTGGAAAAAAGGAACCATGCTGGAAGAGTTGCCTGGATCAGGCTGGCATGTCCGTAGGGCATTGTCGTGATGCCCAATGGATAGAGGAAGGTTCAGCCCACTGTGAGTAGTGGTTGGCCCTATAAGAAAACTTAGCTGAGCGTGAGCCTAAGTAAAGTCAGCTAGCAAGCAGCATCTGTAGTGGTTCCTGCAGTACTTTCTTTGACTTAGGTCCCTTCCCTGGTGGGAGTAATGCTGTATGAAATAGCAAGCAGTTCTGCTCTCGTGTTCCTGCTCCAACGTCTCTCAATAGACTGTGACCAGGGAAGTCTCAATCAATTGAACCCCTTGTTCCCTAAGTCACTTTTATCACAGCTGAAGAAAGGAAGTTAGAACACTAAGGTACTCTAAATGGAGGCATACATTCTGGCTAGGCTCTATAATTCTGTATCTGTGGTGTGAGAATAAATAAAGTACAAAACCACATAGGACCTATCAATTGTTTTGTTTTTGAGACGGGGTTTCACTGTAGCCCAAGCTGGCCTGGAACTCACTCTGTAGGCCAAGTTGTCCTTAGAGTTACAGCAGTTCTGTGACTGCCTGCTAAGAGCTAGGGTTACAAGCCTGAGCTGCCGCCTGACTTCATGTGAAACCTTTAAAATGTGTGCACATGTGCATGCGCGCGCGCGCACACACACACACACACACACACACACTCAAGCCAATGAGTTGAGTTAGAAAAACTGACATTCTACCTGGTTGTGGTTTTATGTTTTCACTAGCTGGCATTAAGCACACACATGAAGTCAGCAGTATTTCCCTTGAGAAAGAAAGTGATTATCCTATCATGGAAAAAAGAAAACAGATGCCCTGGAGAAGCTTGTTCGTGCTGTACGTGTTTTGTTTTTTTACTTAAGTCCCATTCACATTCTTCTTTCATTAAAAATATTGTAAGTATTTCCAAATCATTATTCACCATGAATACAAACCTTATTATCCTTTTCACAGCACAATATTAAAATTCATGTTTATAAGTTATCTCTTTTAAAATATATAACTCAAAGCTATCTATCATCTATGTGTCCTCTCTCTCTCTCGTGTGTGTGTGTGTGTGTGTGTGTGTGTGTGTGTGTCTGTCTGTCTGTCTGTCTGTCTGTCTGTGTGATGGTACAACCTTGGCTGTACTATCTCAGGAGCTGTCTAACTTGTTTTTTGAGATAGTCTTCTAACTGGGCCCTTGGGGTAATTGATTAGACCAAGCTGGCTGGCCAGCTAGCTCCAGGGATTTGCCTGTCTCCACACCCCAACTGGGATAACAAATCACTCCATCATGCCTAGCCTTTTATATGGGCACTGGGGATCAAACTCAGGCCTTCATGCTTATGGGGTATTTACTCCACTTACTAATCTATCTTCCCAGCTAGGCCTGGTCACTCTCATCTTTAATCCGGCCACCCAGGAAGCAGAGGCAGACAGATCTCTGTGAGATCAAGGCCAGCCTGGTCTACAAAGAGAGTTGCAGGACAGTCAGAGTTGTTACACAG